AATAAAATTACATTTGATTTACTAAATATATAAAATAAAGATTTTAATAAAATTACATAAATGAAGTAACATTTAATTTGCTGACGTATTTATAAATTACAATATTTTCTTTATTTATTTATTTATTTTTTTTTATCATATACAAAGAAGTAAGTATAATTAATCAATTAAATATTTTTTAGTTAATAAATGGCATTTTCTTTTCTTTCTTTAAGAGCATTCAAAGTTCGTCTTGCTTGTTTGGCGTTTGGGTTTTGGCAAGTGTCAAAGGATTTTTGAGCCAGATTCGCAGATCCTGTTTCTCACATTTTTATTTCTTTTTATATGCTTTGCATTTTTTATGTGTCTGCTGCTGTTTGGCAGAATGTTTTAACTGTTTTTTTTTTCTTTAGCATTTTGCTTGACATTGTGCATAAATATTTGATTACTGAATTTTGCGCACACTTCTCATTTAGTTGTGTGTGTGTCTGTGCAGAGATCTCATTAAATTCAGTAAAATGCGTGAGTTTTGCTTTCATTTTTTTTAGCTTCAACATCTTCTTTTAGCTGGCCTTTTTATGTTTTCACTGTGCAAACAATTCGTTTTGAAAGAAGTCCTTGGCCAAAGGATGCAAGTTGTAATTTCATTTCTGACAACTGCTCTTACAACTCACATGTGTGTGCGTGTGTGTGTGTGTGTGTGTGCGTGTGTATGGTTGGCATGTTTGATTCGCAAGATAAAGTTTGTTTGGATTTCTTAGCTCGCACTTGAGATTGTTGTTTGTTATTTCGGCTGCTACCGTGTTAGCAGCAGCAGCAGCAGCAGCAACAACAACAACAACGACATAAAGGGAAACAGATGATAAAGAGCAAAAGTAAGGCTGCAGCGTGTCATTGTCATATCTGTTATTGCATTTGTTCTGCCGCTTGTTTGCGTCGCCTTTTCGTTATCTCTGTCCTTGCTGACAGTTCAACAATTTTGTCAGGCAATGTGTGATGCATAATTGGAATACCTTTGATGACTTACAAAACAAGGAAAATGGAAATTTAAGAATTTTAAACTGCTTTCTACAATTAAATACTAAAAGTCTCTTAAAGGGTATTTCATATTCGTTGCTCTTTTTTTTTTTTGTTATTTATTTATTTATTTAATTTTTATATAGAGTCAACTGAATGTCTAAATTAAAATTTCTGAAATCAATTTCATTTTTATTAGCATACAGCTCATATAGGGTTGTTGCTGTTGTCGTTATTGCCTTTGGCGTTTGCCTTTCGGCTATTGCCCAAAACCCAAAACAAATTAAACTTTTCACTTTGAATGTGTCGTGCAGCAGCTGTTGCTAAAAATCTTCGAAATTTGAAATAGAAAATAAAATAAAATTCGCAAAAAAAAAAATAATAATAATAATAAATAAAATATGCCCAAAACAAATTTGCATAAATATATTTTTGATGAATTTTAATTTGCTCTCAATTGGTAACCAAATAAACTTGTATATATATTTGATATTGATATTTCTTTTATAAGTTCTCAAATTTATTTTTTTTGGCTATTTCCATTTGCTTACTTTATTTATTTTGTGGTTACATTTTATTCGCAAGCTCTAAATGAACTTAGAGTGAATAGTGTTTGACGAATTATTTAGAATATAAAACTTGAGCCAAAAATGAAGTTTTTTATTGGTTTTGTGGAAATAATTGTGTTGAAGTTTTTGTTGATAGAAAGTGAGGATTTAAATTTATAAATTCGTATTTTAAAATATTTTATTCTTCATAATAAAGTATAAGTTAAGTTGAGTTTGAATGCCATATAGAATGTAAATGTTTTTAGCCACAAAAAACTTTTTAATTCTAATCAAGGAAAAATACTTTATTTAACCCATTTGGAGAGCATGTTTTTGCAAGTTTGCTGGCCAACTTTGAATTTGGCTTTAAGAATGCAAATCATAGCGATATCCTCTTTGGCATTTTGCCCTTTTCACTATGGGCGTAGCAAGAAAAGCAATAAATTTGTAACGAATGAAAATGTCAATATCCAAATGAGTGAATTGTTGTTAAAGACGAATAGAAGAAAAGAAAATCTGATTTGGACTTTAAAAAAATATTGCAATAATAATTATAGTAATGATAATATATAAAATTAACCATATAAAATAAAAAAAAAATATCATAATATTTAAAATAATAATGAATTAAAAATAATGTATATATACATATATATTATTTTTAAGTTTTAAGAAGTAAAATAAATAAAATAAAATAAAATATAAGCAAGAACCTTTATCCGCCATAACTTATTGAAAATTACCAACATTTTAAATAAATAAAAAATCAGGAAATTTTCCATGTTATGTTATATTATTTCAAATTTGCAAATTTCCAGTGCTTTAAAAATAATAAAATAATAATAAACTTGCAATGGTTTTGCTCTCAGTATTTGGTTTTCAAGCTGCTGCCAACCCTTTCAGCTAGCTTAACCCACATCTCGGAGTTTAGCTGTGGCTGGCCCATCATCGTTTTCATTTGCATTTGAAATACATGTGTATTCATCAAGAGCTAGTGCTAGAGCTAGACCCAGACCGCATTTAACTGTTTGATTTGCGTTTACTGTTGCTAAATGTAACGAATTTCTTTCGATCTCGAGTGGACGAGTGGACCCATATCAAAATGTCTGCTGCGAGGCTGTCATCTTTTGAGGGGCCAACTTTTTGTGGCGGCAAACTTGGCCAAAGTAAACAATTTATTTGACGCCCGCAAGTGCCACGCCCCTTAATTGGTAGAGCGATAAAGCCAGAGCCATTTTTTTTTTTTTGGCGATTTGAGCCATTTAAGAAAATTTGTTGAACATTTTCGTGTTTGTGATGTGTTGGCTGCCAACTTTGGATATCTTTTTTGAGAGCGACGATAAAAGCGAAAATGTCACATTTAACATTTCTGACAATGTTGACAACCAACACGGCAACAGCAACAGCAACAACAACAAGAACGACAACAACAATCAGCAGCAGCAGCCGCAAATCTGCCACGAAATGTTGGTAGGGAATCAGTTAATGCTTTTGAATTTGTTTGGCTTGGCCTATTTCAACTGACATTTTGCTGGAATGTTTGTTTGTTTCGAAGAAATGTTTGTGCTACTCTTACCTACCGGAACGGTTTAGGTCATTATCCTTGTGATATCCTTGTTTAGCTGGCCGCTTGAGTGTGTGTGTCTGGCGTTTTTCGGCACCTCATCGATTAGCCAAGTGTTGCCATGCAACAGAGGCGGCCACTTGCCAGTAGCAGCAACACACACACACACACACACACACACACACAGACACGGGCACCGACACACAAGCAAAAAGGATTCGAGCAGGGGTCGCGAGGTAATTGGTCGCAAACCGCATAAACTACAAACAGAGCGGACCGGAGCGGGAAAAGTTCGAGCGGCGGGTGGTTAGGCTACGTGGAGACCGCAACGTGGTGACACACAGACGACGACAACGACGGCGATGACGGCACACACACACAGACTTTTACACACAGGGCAAAAGGGGGCAATAAAATAATGCACGTAACTTTGGCGACAAGGGCGGCGGCGTGCTGCGACTTGAGTGTTTATATTTTTGTTTTGGCAGGATAATGCGGCATATCCTTCAGGCTGGTCAACCCTAGTTGAGCACAACAATGAAATCCTTTTCTTTGTTATTTCTTTTATTTTCTTTGGGCGCGCACTTAACACCAGTCAAAACAGTTTCAATTTGCGTTAATAATTCTGCTTAGGTTTCTCAGCTGTCATTCACTGTGATAATGATGATGATCATAAAACAGATTTCACTGGGCGTCTGTGGCAACGCTGTTAGTCAGTTCTTAGCTGCCCTTTGCGACAACAACACGACCGACTGCTCGCACGGCTCGCCGTCAACTGGTCCCGCCTCGAGGTTCGGGCTGACGCGTTGCACGTCGACCCGCAGCGACAGCGTCAGGGAAATTTGATGTGAGCTGCAGCATATTCACCACAGCAAAGCGAAATGCAACTTGGGGCTGTTCTCTCTCAACTTAGCTCTAGCTAGGCGTTTGCACTCTCCCTCGCACGCTATTGCCGGCTCGCTCTCGCGCGAGCACTGCTAGCGCTTTGCGTCGTGGTGAGTTTGCGCCTGGACTCAATTCACATTTCACTCGGAGATTTGTTTTCATTTTGCCGGTTTGTTTACGTTTTCGCCCATTTTCACCTCAGCCGGCTTTTTAGCGTCGAGCATGTGACAAAACACATGACAATATTTGTTGGCTCAAGCGTCTAAAAATAATATTGCATATATAAACAGATTGGGTGGCAGGGAGTTTGTTAAAAAGTTTGAAAGTCTCAATGGAAAAACTATTTGGGATTTGTTATTGTTGCTGATTTCTGTTTGCTTTACGAATATCATTAATTATTTATAGAAAAGTATGTATATGTAGTGAAATAATTTTTTATTCTTCTACAGCGTGATTCTAAGCCACATTTTATTTAGACTGGATTTAAATACAATTTATTTTCTAGTCTAGATTGTCCAAATATAGGTATAGTCAGGTTGTTTTAGGATATCCAACAACCCAAATTTTTTTATGGTTTTTTTTATTTAATAATAATAAATCTTAAAATATTTTTTAAATAAAATTATTGAGTTATTTATTATTTAATTTATAATATGTTTTCATGCACATCAAGTTTTCTTAGATAGTTGTGTATAAATGCATAAAATTATATCCAAAACAGATTTCATATATCCCCCTTCTCACTCAGTCACTCTCTCTTTCTCTCGCTATGTTTTTGCAAAGTCGAAATCAGGCTAATTAAAATGTAGGCACAATGAAACTCGACATTCAAGAGATTTGCCAGATTTTGGGGGGCGTGGCAATGTCCGACTGCCTTCGTCTGTATGGGACATGACCGCAAAAGCCGCTGGGGGTACGGCCAAGGTTTGGACAAATCGTACAAACTGCTTTGGTCACATTTTCGGCTGGTTTTGGCTTATTTACAAGAAATGTTCGTTTTATTGCAGCACTGCGTAACCACAAGGACCAAAGAGGCAACAACAACAAGAACATACAATAGAGACAAAGTGTATCAATTATAATACGGGTGCAAGCTGAGCAATCCGAACTGACCAAAGAGGCAGCCATGTTGGCGACAACAACATCAAGAGCAACAGCAACAACAACAAGGAGACAATCTACAACCACAATTACCTCAGATCCGGGCATTCTGTGTTTTCATCACTGCAACGTAAAAGTTTTCTGCTTCGTTCTGCCCCTCAGCTGTCCCCATTGCAATGCGCAACTGGATGCGGATGCGGATGCGGATGCGGATGCGGATGCGAATGCGAATGCAGAAGGCTCTGCAAATGCTGTAGCAAACGCATCTGGTGTTGGCTCCATGACCATTTCGAGACTACTGCCCTTTCGCTTGCCCTATCCCTTTGTCCGGGCCACGCAGCATCCATGTGCAATCGTCCTGCGTCCCTCCATCGGAGACTTTCTCAAGTAAGTAAATGGTGCTACTTTGCGAGCGTATAGTAATTGATTGGCTAGCCAACGCGGCAGAAGTTGAATGTGTTTTATTATAGTAAAAATTTGGATTATTTGCGATCATGTTTAGATAGAAGAAAATAGATGAAAAGATTTGCAAGATACAAAATTAAGAACTAAATTTAACGCTGCACAAGTGACTGTCATGATACCCTGATATATGCCTATATTATAGATCCACGTAAATGGACTATTTAATTTTGATTCGTACGTCTTCGAGTTTTTAAGATCGATGCAATCCTCCATATGACGTAACGATTAGGCAGGTATTGGCAAAGATTAACAATTTATTTGTAGCATACTTTGGGCAGTCTGCTGAAAAAAAAGAACAATATATAAAATATATAAAAGATTTAAGCTTAAAATAAATAAATAAAAATATATCGATAATTGAAAAAGTATCCAATTACTGTATAAATTATTAAATTGTGTTTATTCCAAAACATAAATAATGTCAAAAAAAAAAAAAAAAAAATAAATAAATACTTTGGGGTGTAAATAATTTAGTATGATCATTATTTGGTCTTATTTTTAAATAATCCAATTTTGTGTATTAGATCAAAAACAACTAACGAAATATTTAAAGTAAATGTTGATTGTCATACTTTTTCTTTGCCTTTTAACTGAACTATAACTGAACTTTAATTTTAGTGAATGATTATGATTTACATAGAATGGTAACAGTTAGATAGAAATATGTATTGTTGTAGCTTTGTTAAGCCAGACATTTGTTGGGCAATTTGGTGTTATCAGGGAAGCTGCTGCATAAGCCATTGATGGAATTTTTTTTTTTCCTTTTTTTTTTTTTGTGTTTGGCTTGTGTAATATGTAAAATGTATCTGATGCGTTTTTGTGTTGCCCGTGTGTTTCCGTAGCGATTACAGCAACGCCACAGATTTGCATATCGCGGTGACCACATCCGGCGGCGACATTGTCGAATTCGATAGGGATGGACTGCGGCGGCATCGGCGCGAAGATAATCCCCGCGACTGGTGGCAATCGTTGCTGGTGGGAGATGTGCCAGAGCCGTGGCATTACTACTGGGACGAGGTGCTCGAACAGGTGAGTTCCCACTTCATATACATACGCATATATGCATATGTATATGCGGATTGCATGCAAATCTTGATGCTTGATGTCTGTCTGCCTCATCCCCGTTAGATTTGTGGCGATTCAACGCGCTGGTCCATAGCCCGCTACGAAGAGAGCAGCCACAATTGCTACACCTTTGTCCTGGCCTTCCTGCAGGCCCTGAGCTATGCCCAGCTCAGCGATGCGGCCCGCACCAAAACCAGCTTCTGTGAGAAGTACATTGTGCCCCGAACGACAACGGCTGGCAAATACATCTCTCTCTATCGCCGACTCCGCCTAGCGGGCATCCACGTGCAGCGCCATCAGCCCAAGCAACGGCTCTCCAAATCAGTTGTCGCTGCTGGCAAGGATCTCAAAGTGGCCCACACAAAGGCCAAAACCAATGGCTATATCTGCAGCAATACGTACGCAACCCGTTCGCATCCACGCCAAACCCTCTGCACCATCGAAGAGTAGCCGCAGATGTGAACTAATCTATGTCGCATTCCGTTTTCAATTCGTTTCATTAATTTAGTAAAATTAGCTATACTTCTATGAGCTGGAATATCACAGATTCAAGTATTGATATTTGGCAGCACTTTAACTATGAATGTCTTTAATTTTAAATATTTTTGTGGGCAAATTATCGATAGCATACGCCAATCTATCGATACCTTTTTTCGTGTAGATAAAAATATAGAAATAGATTTTATTATCGTTCCATTTAGTTATTTGTTCCTACACACACGCACTTAGAAATTGATATTCTTATGTGTATTGACTTCATTTAATTTTTTCAATCTTTACTTAAACTTTACCTTATATATTTATTTTTAGTCTTTTAAATCTGTTTTTTTCCAGCCTTAATTTATGATAAATTCTTCAATCGCTTTATTATTGTGAGTGAGCAAAAATCGCATTTGATATGCCTACTACTATTATGACTACTCCTACTATTTTGTTTATTATTAACCATAGCTTGCAAATAATAATTTATCGTTTGGCTCTTTCTCGCTCTGAGCTTGTTAAGCAACCGATGCGATAATCTGTTGCTCTCTGAGTCTTTTCTGAGAATGTGAGAAAAAAAAATAATATATTTTTTGCAGTCATCGGCAATCGCTCAAAAGTTATATGCGAGCTTCGTTATTAATCCTAAGTGCACCTTAACATACCTATATGTTTACTTCAGTTTATTTAGTTATTGCGGAACGAGAGCCCTTAACTATAATATTGTATTTAATGTGATTATGAACAGTGATTTTTAAAATAAAAAATATAAAGAATAAAATAAAATGATTTTTGAATATTTGTTTAAATGAGATGGGTGATAAAAGTAATGAGTGAACAAAGTATTTAAAAAATCGAGAAAAATATAGGGAAACAAGAGTTTATATGGGACGACCCATCGTGCTGTCATGATCAAGAATACTATATTTGCAAAATGATCGTAAACAAACAATAAATAATTAAATGAAATAAAATGCAATGTATTGATATGCCATTTAATAGTTTAAGTTTTTTATAACAGATAATAATAATATATAAGTGTTTGTACAATTCAAATTTATATGTGTATATATGTATATATAGTATGGCATATCAAAAGAGAGAGGCTTGTCAGTTCTCAGTTTGGAGGCGAAACATTCTCCCTGAAGTTGTTCATCATGTTGCCAGGTGGATCATAGTTGCATACTATGTAAACTGTATTTCCTCTGCAAAGTAAAATTAAGAGTCAAATGATCTGATTGTATAGACGGCTCATTGAATGCTTACCTTTGAGCAATTCCAGCGCCCAAAAGTCTGGAGCCCTTCCAAACAACTTGGGTAAAGTGGCCAGTGCTTGACTGAAACGAGGGCGACCTAAAATTGTAGTCCTTGATTTCATCGTACCACGACTTCACAGCGGCTGCACCATTCAGATTGGCACCCGATGCCATGTACAGATTCTCTCCATATTGATTGTTCTGGCGATGCTGAAAGCTGTTTGTGTTTAACAAATGCTGTACAAATTTTGGAAATTTATTAGTTATATCCGTATATGTATGATTGCGAATATCTCACCTGCGCCCATTGGCTGGCAACTCTGCATAAGTTCTCATCCAACTCCAATGGCGGTGCCCCATGCTTGGCCCTATATTGGTTGTGGGCCTCAAGTACCTCAAGTTCGAACTGCAATGATTGGATTTCCTTATTTCTTACACTTTTTATATTTTTATTTATTTTTTAATGGGCAATTTTTTGACTGAAAATATATGCAATATGAAGTAAATGAACAATATACCATATTTATTAAAACAATTTATATCAAACTGCATTATTATAAATCAGCATATGAATTAATGAAACTCTAAACAATATGTGAAACAATATTTTGAAAATAATTTGATCCAAATATTAACATTAATATTTAGCCTTTATATATATATATATATATATATATATATTTTTTTTTTTTTTTTTTTTTTTTTTATGTACATGTAACTGTAATCATATATAATTAAGCCACAATCATTTCATTTTCCGGCTTGAGTAAAAATTTGTGTGACACAATGTCAATTTTTAGTCTTCGAGTAATTGACTTTAACTTTAAATTAAATTTATGAACGCACAAAAAACCTTTGTTTCACTCGTAAATAAATATATTTATAATGTATGCAGTTATAGCTAAATCCACATTACTCAGCCCACAAAAATTAATCCCATTTCAGATCTCAATGACGAATTAACTCAACTCAACTTTTGCTTAATACTTTGTATAATTTCAATGTTATTTATATATTATGAATTGTTTAGCAATTTTGTGCTCGCATATTCCAGAAATTAATATGCTTACTTTGTTACACGAGACATGAAGAGTTAACTGTGAGATATGAATAAAAAATAAATATAAAGCTTACTGCTCCGAAACTCATTTTGCTTGAAATACTTAAATGTGTTTCTTTCTCGGCACTTAAAATAACAATTTTAATTGAAGTACTCGGATTTCACTTGCACTTGCACTTGCACCGCCTCGAGACTTGTCACAGCCGTACTCAGATATTTAATGAGACTAAGCAGCTTGCCTCGTCTACGGCTGGGTTTTATTTATGTTTCTGCTGATAAGGGCTAGAAACCATAACTGGAGCAATTATTGCTGACTGGCTGACTAATGTTTTTTATCAGCTGAGCGGTTGTTAAAATCGTCACAAAATTACATAGATCTGTTTTGATTTCACGGAATCTAGAGCTATATACTCTGGGATTTTTTTGATAGTAAAGCTATACAAATGTATTATTTAATAACACAATTGATTTTTTTTTAGAGAAGTTCATTAACATTGTATAACTTCAAATGATTTTGGGAGAGTAAAAAATTAAAAATTTTATTGACTTATAAACTGCACCCATTAAACTCTATTATCAATACCGTTTATTTGATATAAATCATCTAGATCGATAGCTATATAATTATAGCTATTCGTAAATTGACTGTCTTTCTGTTATAAAGACATTATTAAATTCTATATCAGAAGGAAGCGAACTATAAGAGCTTATCTATTTTTGTTAATCATTTTTTTTTATACCCTGAACCCATTGAAAATGGAAACGCGTGACTATACGTGCGTGTGTATGCATGTGTGCATAAAAAAAGTGCAGAATGAGCAGAATATCAGCTTAGAGGGTTCAGGGTATCTCCTAGTCGAGCAGTCTCGACTGGAGCTTTCTTACTTGTTTTTTCTGGAATACAAAAGTTTACAGTGATAGCTAACGTTTGTATACAATCATAATATACGCAAATATTATACATATAATAACATATATTTTGTATCAGTATTTACCTTTTTGTGGTTAGTTGACGGCGGATTATGGCCCAATGCTGATGTCAAGCGCGACCCTTGTTAGCTGTCTTCCACGCTCTGAGCCATCGTCTTGGCCTCCGCCTTAGCCTTTTGTGGCTGATGATGCTGTTGCTGTTGCTGATGTTGATGCTGTTCGTGGCTGTCTCATTAATAATCGTAATATCTGCGCGCACGAGGCGGACTTTTCGTTATGCAAAACTGTCATGAATCAGGCGAAAATGTAATTACATTCTCCTTGATGAGCGGTGGGCTCATCAGCTGTGTCGTGCCAGCCTTTACGCCGTTCGCCCTGTTTGCCCCAGTCGCTCCAGTCGCGACATTTCATCTCGGATGTCGTGCATAACGTGCATATAAATTTTATAATGTCGTTGCCAACTTTTGAAGACACGTAATCTAGAACTAAATAAGTTTTCTGCCTTGTCTCGCGCAAAGTTATCCTTATGAGTTTTGAAGTCGACAAAGTTTTCTGGTTATTCTCCATGTTGTTGTTGCTGCTGTTTTTGTTGTTGGTGCCTCTGTCCATTGGGGTATAATAACGATGCTGTTATTGAATTTAAATGTTTTGGATGCTTAGCATGATCGTTGACGCGAAATGAGCTGCAAATGGATAACAGCAGCCATAAATAGACTGCAAGCGAAAGTGGGGCAAACCTGTATTGTTTGTAGGATAATTGAATAAACTTGAAAGAGTTTATTAAAAAAATAAAAATAAAAGAAAACTTGTATAGTAATTGAACAGTAATAATAGTGATTAAATATTAGTTTTCTATCGAACAGAAGACATTCTTTGCACTCTTTGTAAGTGTGGGAGGTACGCAAAGATGAAGATAGTATTAATTATTTAAAGTCTTCTGTTAGACTTTAATGCACACGTGTGGGTGCACTGAGGGTGAGATAAATGCCTATTGTTCATATTGTATTCAGTCTGAAATAATTATGAATTATTTAAGAAGTGGTAGGTTTGACTACGTGTTTTGCCTGTGAGTTGTCTTGGGCTTAAATATATTGTTTGTGAGTATATTGCGTATGTGTTGTGGAAAGAGTCTCAAATAATTTAAAATTTACGATTTGCAATTTTTTATATTTTATTTAAGATGCTTTTGCTACTTTTAGCGGCAGCATAATATAATTTTTTTTATTATTATTATTATTTTTTTTTTTAATTTATTTATTTATGCAGTCAACAGTGCGTATGATACCTAATTAACTTTAAATAGATATCGATTTAACGAACGGTAACGGAATATATAACGGTTTTGCCATCAATATATTGTAATGAAAGGAGTTGTCAATACTAGTTATATTGATATATGCAGCTATAATATAAGTTATATTGATAGCTATTAGGTATTAATTCACGAAGAAGAAAGAGTGCAGCTTGTTAAGCGTCAGTCAATATAACTATTAATTCTTGGTATTGAAATATATAAATATATTTATAGTGTGATAAGACTTGACCAAGATTGCCTATACAGAAAAAACAAACAGCTTTGCTTTATTGAATTCGACAGATGGAACTAAACTGAATCGAGTAAGTCAGTTCAAAATGTAAATATAGCTACTTCTATTCTGCCGATATCTATTATCTAAAATTTCGTGACATTTTCATGGTATAGTTATATACCTATATATAGCGCACATAATAAAATTTATATAGGTTACATAATTCTGATATCGGCTTGACTCACAAATTGCAAATGTCAAAGTGGAGCAATGTCATGTTATATTTATTATATAGCTTTCTGTTTTTGTATTTGCTCTGCACCTTGTGCCTAGACACTCCCATAATTTACGCAGTTTTTACAGAAATTGGCAAATGGGCGTGGGAGCAAATATAGCTTATATAGAGCACGTAATCAGTTGTTATGTTAGTGCTTTCCGGTCGATGAGTCAAATGCTCAGGAAGCGAGTTTTATCGGCTGTTGAAACCAATTTCGTATTGTTATTATGCAATTAAAATGGCAACAGTGAACTGTAAAAATGCACGAGTGCAACATTTGTAGCCAGTGGTGAAACTGAAATCAGAGAATCGGGACAGACCTTGAGCGGCACTTAGCACGGTTGAGGGAATTAATTCTTTTGTATCTATTCGCTGGCCCATTCTGTGAAAGCGAACTTTGCACCTTGCGGCAGACCCCAATAGCGGCGAGGTGTGGACACTCGAGCTCTTCTATGGCTGCCTAATGCACCCAATCCCCGCCAGAGGCAGCCGCCTTGCAGCCCCCATGGAACGCGCTGTCAGCATTGTCGAGCGAACCATTGAAAAATCTCAACTAATGTCAAACGCTTTGTCGTCAGTGTCGTCTGTGCAGGAAGGCATAGACTTTGCAGTTCACACTTTTGAAATTTGGCAGCTGATCTATGCACCTTAGTGGGCGTGGCCGCCATCAATTTGAATGGGATAAAAGCATTGTGCACGATGATGAATGGCCAGAGTTTGAGAAACAGTTGACG